AAAAAAAAAAAAAAAAAATGCATCCAGTTCACAAGACTACAGTAAAAGCTATAATTGGGTGAGTTTGAATTTAATGGTTTCAATTAAAAGTCTGATGAGGACATAGAGGGATTTGGAAGATGCTTTGAGGATTTATAATCATCCGTGCTGCATTATTTGGAAGTCCTGTGAAAGGCATGGAATCCTTTTCTATAACCAACAGTAAGGCTGTTTTTAGACTTCCCAGACAGTTATACCACTCTATAACTGTCATTGTAGAATGATCAATCAGTTAGTTACACACATTAATATTTAGAACCTAATTAAAATTTTAAAATGTTTGTTTTCCTGTCATTTCTGAACAGACTAGAAACTTTCCCATAAAGAAATGTGCCATACCATGATCTTTAAGTGAGTCATCCAGAAGCTGATGGGCAGTCTTAAGAGCAAGTATTTCTTATCCTCAACAAGGGTTTCAGGGTGAGTGCCCTCAAGGATTTGTATCTGTTGCCTAACCAGACAAAAGCTTTCTATCATGGCATTTTTCTACTTTTGGGCCAGCTGCTTCCGGGACAAGACTGGCTGTGAACCCACAGATGTTCTACAGCAGCAACACCAGCTTAAGCAATCCTCAAGTTCTCCACTCTCCAGCTGCTCATTTCTATCCTTACATTGCCCCTTCTTCAACTGGGGAACCAATTTAGCTGAAAACCAGCCATCTTTTCTGGGTATTGAGCAAAATCAGTTCCCCAATCTAGTCCATTGCCAACTACACACACAGCTGTGTCACCATAATGCACGGGCAACAGTGAGCTCTCAGGAGCCAGGAGTGCTCAAATTACGTTGCTATAAAGCTCAAAACTCCTGTATCAACAATACAAGCATGGACCACAGCACTCAGGAGAAGATGCAGCTGCTCAAAAGAACATTACACACTACTCCGAAATATATAAATAATCTTCATTCCGTTCTGACTTCTGGAGGCATCTAACAAACTTCAATTTCAGATAGACAAACATGGCAGAATCGATTCTGTGCAAGTGATAAGATTAAGAACCATAGCCAATAAGAATTTTTGGAAAAAGATGATCTTTATCAAACCTGCAAACTACGAAGACTAAATTGCTCTGCAACTTCTACATGGTAGCTTTTTAGGTGCATCCTCTTGCCATCTCAACACCATATCACAGTAAACACACAGTAAACCTGATTAGCTTACTCCTTGGTGAAAAAAGTATTGTACTTTGCATTTACCATACGAAAAAATTACTTATAGAAACTTCTTGTAAAGCTGCTCGTCCAGAATCACTGAAGGATAGCTCAAAGCCCAAGAGGTGAAAGAGAAACAAAATAGACAGACACATGCAGTACTGAAACCTGTCTGACCCTCAGTAAGCTAGTTCACAGCGCTAAGTGAAAAGAAAACTGGGAGCGGGAGAAGGGATTAGGATTAGTTTCCTGCCATTTTAGCTCCATTAATCATCCCATCATAAGGCCAGACAAGCACCAATGTTGGCACAAGGAAGCAACAAAGGCATG